TGGGTGGGTGTGTGTGGGTGGGTTTGTGTGTGTGTGGGTGGGTGGGTTTGTGTGTGTGTGGGTGGGTGGGTTTGTGTGTGGGTGGGTGGGTTTGTGTGTGTGTGGGTGGGTGGGTTTGTGTGTGTGTGGGTGGGTGGGTTTGTGTGTGCGTGGGTGAGTGGGGTTGTGTGTGCGTGGGTGGGGTTGTGTGGGAGCGTGGGTTTGTGTGTGTGTGGGTGGGTGGGTTTGTGTGTGCGTGGGTGAGTGGGGTTGTGTGTGCGTGGGTGGGTGGGGTTGTGTGTGGGTGGGTGGGTTTGTATGTGGGTAGGTTTGTATGTGGGTGGGTTTGTGTGTGGGTAGGTTTGTATGTGGGTAGGTTTGTATGTGGGTGGGTTTGTGTGTGTGTGGGTGGGTGGGTTTGTGTGTGGGGTGGTGGGTGTGTGGATGGGTGGGTTGGTTTGTGGGTGGGTGGGTTTGTGTGTGGGTAGGTGAGTGGGTTTGTGTGTGGGTGGGTGAGTGGGTTTGTGTGTGGGTGGGTGAGTGGGTTTGTGTGTGGGTGGGTGAGTGGGTTTGTGTGTGGGTGAGTGGGTTTGTGTTTTTTTGTGTGGGTGGGTTCGTGTGTGGGTGGATGGGGTGTTGGATGGATGGGGTGGTGGATGTGTGTGGGTGGGTTTGGGTGTGTGGGTGGTGCGTAGGTTTGTGTGTGGGTGGGTGGGCGTGTGGGTGAATGGGTTGGTATGTGGGTGGGTGTGTGGGTGGGTGGGTTCAAGTGCGGAATACTGGGGAGACAAAGGCGGCCGGGTGTGCTATTGTCCACCCTACCCCCTCGTGTATGCTCACAGCACTTTCCCCAAGCCTACACATAGGGGCGAGGGAACTTGCCCTTACAGTCGATATGGCTATACGGGGCTTCTATGGTTTTACTTTTGACCCATGTGAAACTTGGCTGTCGTCATCCTGTTCTGCGGCATCTGCAAATTGCTGATGTGCACACACAACAACAAAGATCACCCGTATAGCCATAACAGACTGATGGAGCAAGTGCTTTTAGCGAGTAGCATCTTTGAAGCCTGGCACGGCACACGTGGGAGAGGGTGGCCAAGCACCATGAACGGCCGCTTTTGTCTCCCTCGTGGCGATGCTTACACATCATACCAGGTACTCATTTGAGGCTGAGTCGACCTCGGGGAGTACCAGGACCGGTTCAGATCATTGTCACTGGTGTTGACCGAGAGCAGGATTCGAACCCTGGTCGCTGGGTTCTTAGTGCTACCGCTCTCTCACAAAGGCAAAGATCCCTGTAATGACTTAACAGACTGCTGGGGCAAGTGCTATTAGTGAACATTTAAAAGACACACATACACACAGACAGACACACACACAGACAGACACACACACAGACAGACACACACACACAGACACACACACAGACAGACACACACATACACATACAGACACACAAAGATCAAAGATCCCCCGTATAGCCTTAACGGACTGTAGGGGCAAGTGCTGTTAGCAAGCACCTATTAAGGCCAGAACGGTACACGAGGGGGTGGGTGGCAGCACCACGCCCGACCGCCTTTGTCTCCCCAGTGGCGATGTTTACACACCGCACCCACACATACACACACACATATACACACACACATACACGCGCGTGACTTCTATTGGCTGGTAGTGACATCATCGCGGGCAGGGCGTGGTGCTGGGGGAGGGTGGATGGGGGAAGGTTTTGCTGGGAGGGGTGAATGAGCCAGGTGAGTAGAGGAGGAGTCACCCAGCGAGCGTGGCTCGCAGAGACTGGGCGAGCGTGGCTCACTATCGCCCTCGTCCCCTTTGGATCCCCCACTCTTACCCCCACCCCGTCCCCGGGGAGGGTGGGGGCACTGACCCCGGGCCGAGACCCCTGCCATGGGGAGCCAATGGGGAGGTGGGGGTAGAACATGTGAGAATGTGCTGTGACATCCGTTCCATCTGTCCCGAGCTGCAGAGAGGAGCAGAAGCATGAGGCCCAATGCCACCCGCTCTAAGGAGACCACATGCATTCCTCTATCGCACACCTCTGTGTCTGTCCACGTGTCTTGCATATCCACGTGCGCGTGTACATGTGCTGTCGTGGCCATGTGTGCTCATGCGTCTGTATGTACCTCTTTCTTTACACGTGCTGATGTGTCTTTTTGTTCGTGTGTGTTTACACGTGCTGATGTCTGTGCGTTCGTGTCCATGTGTCTGTGTTTCCATGTGTCTGTTGGTGTGTCCATGTGTCTGTGTGTACATGTGCTGATGTGTCTGTGTGTCCGTGTAAGATTGGGATCGGTAGTGCAGTGGTTAGCGCTCTGCGCTACGGACCTGGTAACCTAAGATCGATTCCCGTCCACGGCTAACACCAATGGCGAATATCTGAACCAGTCCTGGGCCTCCCCTCAGTCGACTGCCTTAAATGAGTACCTGGTGTGGTGTGTAAACATCAGCACTGGGGAGACAAAGCGGCCGGTTGTGGTGCTGGCCACCCACCCCCTCGTGTGCTGTGCCGGCCTTCATAGGTACTCGATAACAGCACTTGCCCTAACAGTCTGTTAAAGGCTATATGGGGGATCTTTTTCTTTGTTTTACCCCCTTTGTGTGAGTGGGGTTATCTGTCCCTTGAGGCTGGGGGACCCATGTGTGGGGTTAGCAGCTCTTACACTCATGCACGTATCGACTCACACGAACGCACGTGGCACACACACGGCACGCATGCATAATGCATGACCACATGGTGGCTCACATCCACGGCTGGGACCTTCTGGCCTTGTCAGCTCCATTCTGGCTGTGGTCAGCTCCACGCTGACTGTGTGAGCTCCACGCTGACTGTGTGAGCTCCACGCTGACTGTGTGAGCTCCACGCTGCCTGTGTGAGCTCCACGCTGACTGTGTGAGCTCCACGCTGACTGTGTGAGCTCCACGCTGACTGTGTGAGCTCCACGCTGACTGTGTGAGCTCCACGCTGCCTGTGTGAGCTCCACGCTGCCTGTGTGAGCTCCACGCTGACTGTGTGAGCTCCACGCTGACTGTGTGAGCTCCACGCTGACTGTGTGAGCTCCACGCTGACTGTGTGAGCTCCACGCTGACTGTGTGAGCTCCACGCTGACTGTGTAGACTCAACGCTGCCTGTGTGAGCTCCACGCTGACTGTGTGAGCTCCACGCTGATTGTGTGAGCTCCACGCTGCCTGTGTGAGCTCCACGCTGACTGTGTGAGCTCCACGCTGCCTGTGTGAGCTCCACGCTGACTGTGTGAGCTCCACGCTGACTGTGTGAGCTCCACGCTGACTGTGTGAGCTCCACGCTGACTGTGTGAGCTCCACGCTGACTGTGTGAGCTCCACGCTGACTGTGTGAGCTCCACGCTGACTGTGTGAGCTCCACGCTGATTGTGTGAGCTCCACGCTGGCTGGAGGTAAGACGGCCTGTCTCCTCTAGAATGGGGAATTCTGCTGTCAAGCCGCTATATCTCACTCAGCAACGTCCTACAGGTGCGTGCGTGCGGTCGTTAAAGTCGGTCGTGAGAAGTCTGAAAAAATCTGTGAGGAGGCTTTATTGGGCAAATTTTGTTTGTGGGCGAGTGGGTGGATGAGTGAGTCGGTGGACAGGCAGGTGAGTGGGTGGGTGAGCAGGTGAATGCCCGTGAGCCCCTTTCATGCAGCAGTGGATAGTCTGGCTGTGTGATAATAACAGCGTGTGCAAGCAATCACAGTATGCGTTCAAGCGTCACCACAATCTGTGCTGGGTGGTGGAGGGCTTAACGACAAGAACTACAGCATTAAAATGACACTGCCGCCTCGTGGCATCGCCCACACTCTGGTGGGCGATGATGGCAGCGGCACCGGAGTCCGATGCCAATGTCGAGGTCTTGCTGCTTGCCATGACGAGAGGACTTCAGCAGAGAGAGAGAGACTTTCATGTCGTTTCACACGTCGCGCTTTCGCGACCAATATCCATAAGATACATTTTTTTAGGATTAGATTGTGTCAATATTAATGTGTCGATAATCTCGCCACCACCCGACACAGCCAATTAGTACAGTTTGTGACCTGTACAAGATTATTAGAGTTTGTGGTTCTTCTCTTTCTCCTGCATTGAAGGAGCGCAGACTGCAGTGATTTACTAAATGGTCAATAGTTTGGGTTGCATGCCCACAATTTTCACTGTGCCTTCCCTTGACATTTTTCTCTGCATCTTTATTAAGCTATGCGTCTTTGGAAGTCTTTATGCATCTGTCAGTCTCTGTGTATCCCCGTGCATCTCTTTTATGGGTTTCCTGTTTTGGTGCATAGTTTGGATTACAGTGACTGCTGTACTTAAGAACATTCGACTTACGAACTTTCAGAGATATGAACAAGACTGAGAGTTGTAAGTTCAACTACCGTACAATGTATGGTGTCTACATCTACAGGAGATTATACAACTTTTAAAGCCATTCTCCATGTTTAGTGTACACGCCGTACAACGTGTTTGGAATCGACGGGAGTAAAGTTGAACTTGCGAACAAATCAACTTACGAACTGACCTGGAACTTAACTTGTTCATAAGTAGAGGAGTCCTTGTACATGGCTCAAGCGTGCTGCCGAGTTGTCCCTTTAATTTTTCACTCGTGATGGGAATGTTGCGCATCGGCCTGCTGGTGACATTCTGATGCGGTTGACGTTTCCACCAATGGAGGAATCTCAAAGCCAGGAGGAGGTGCCGATGATGTTTGGGTCTTGAGTGAGGTGCTTATTATTCTGGACGTCCGTGTTGTTACACTTTGTTTGCCAGCGTTCTTCCGGATCTAGGTGGCCCTATCTATTGTGTGTTTTGCGCGCCGCCTTAAACACAACCGACGGCGTCGTCCGGGCGAGATGGACGTCGTTTATTCGAATCCGAATCAGATCAGCAGAGCCTAGCCCATAGCATTGCCTACGAACACCCACGTTTTAAATACCCATCTTTTCTTTCTGTTGTGGTGTGTGCCGGTGTGTGTGTGCGTGTGTGTGCGTGAGCAGCTGTGTCGAGCCTGGAGGAGGGCGCCCGCCAGTGCGACCACTACCGCTCGTGGTGCGAGCTGCAGGAGCGAGTGCTGGCCCCAGAGACGCGGCCACCCTGCGTGTGGGAGTTGCACCGCGACGCGCGCTCCTCCCTGCGAGCCGCGCTCACAGGTAAGCACGCGTCACTGCGCACGAACGTGTCACCCATGTGTCTTTGTACGTGTGCTTCTGTGTATGTGTGCACATCACCCGTGTGTACCGGTGGTAGTGTAGCGGTTAGCGCTGAGCGGCACTACGAACCCTGGCGACCCGAGTCACGATTCCCGCTCGCAGCCAACACCAGTGACAATTATCTGAACTAGTCCTGGGCCTCCTCTAGGTCGACTCGGCCTCAAATGAGTACCTGGTGCTGTGTGTGGTAAGCATCGCCACTAGGGAGACGAAGGCGGCAGAGTGTGGTGCTGTCCACTTTCCCCAACAGTCTGTTCAGGATATACGGGGGGTCTTTGTCTTTGTGCGTGCGTGTGCAGACTGCGACTGGTTGCGAGGAGACGGGCACCCGTCGTCCGACCTCTACTCGCAGGGCCCCACGTTCGCGAGTCTCCCCGGAGGCCGCGCTTCGGTACTCATTTGGTGCCTCCACACACACATGATGTGACCATGGCACTTGTGCCAGGCAGGAGGTCTTGGGACAGACCCAGCAGGTGCCATGGGTTTACTGAGATGACTGGCAGGTGCCCGGCGCTCCACTCGTTCCGAGCATCGCTCCTCTGTTCTCCATTGTTGCTGGAGGGCGAATGCCTCCCAACTAACTACCCATTAGCAGCGTCCTTCACAAGCCGCCTCCACAGAGGCTGATCTTGACACCACTGGTACCAGTCATTGGCAAGTCCACTCAGCTCCACATCCTCCCTCCAGCTCTCAAGCCCGTGCCACGCCCGTTTAGCCCCCTTTATATGGCCAAACAGAAGCTGCTTGGGCTACATGACCCAGCCTCCTCGCCTGCTGGAGGAACTCACCGATGGTAGGACTGCTGCTGGTGTGTTGGGGGGGGGGGGTTGATTGTCGTGTTTCCGTGTTCCGCGTTCGGCTTCAGGCCGGGGAGGACGGTGAGGGGGCCCAGGAGCATGATGACGTTGCTCACGGGGGGCTCCTTCCCACTCCGGAGGAGCGGATGCGGCGCCTGGCGCAGAACTTCCCCCCACACACGGTCGCCATCGACGTGTCCGGTATGCGCGCGCCTGTATGTGTGTGTGGGGAGCGGTAGTGTAGCAGTCTGCGCGCTACGCTACGAACCTGGTGACCCGAGTTCGATTCCCGCTCGCAGCCTACACAAGTGACGATTTTCTGAACAGGTCTAGGCCTTAATTCTAGATTTGAAGCTTTCGTGACTGCAAGGATTCATATTCTTAGGTTTTTTCGGTAAAGTCACGTAGGTTAAACATAAACATTTATAAAAGTAAAATAAAATAAAAATCACTACGTTTCGGAGGCAGCACAAGCCTCCGTCTTCAGGTGGAACCGTCACAGCCACGACAGCTGTATCAAGTAAATGAGAGATTGCAAGAGCTACCACTCCGTATATATAATGGTTGGAGAGGGGGAAGGGCCAAGTACAGCACACTTTTTATTAATATGGTAAGGTGAGGCTTAAGAGGCTGAGCCTTTGTTATGGAGAGGTACGGTTTGTGACTAAGCCTGGCCTACATAACAATAGTGTGAAAAAGAAACAAACTAAACATGGTAAAACAAGCCTGGCTGTCTATCAATAACCTGTAATAGTTGTCTGTCAAATAAGATGGTCCAAATAAGTGTAGTTAAATCTTTTTTGCATGGTTAATCAATGATTACTCAGTTTGTAACCATCATCACGGTTGAAATTATGTCTGTGTTTGTATATTTGTATGGCTTCGTGTACAAACCTTTGATGGTAGCCAGGAGGTTTGCAGAGCACCTTGGTCTCGGAAAAGACAATTTCATGAGAGCCCACCGAGTTGTAGCAATGATCGGCAACGGCCGAAGAATCAGTTCTGCCATGTTTCAGATCTGGCTTGTGCTCGCGGACACGATCAGAAACATGACGTTTCGTTTCTCCAATGTAGCAATCGCCACAACTGCAACTCAATTTGTAGACTCCAGGATACTGTAAGTCAGGAACGACATCCTTCACAGATGGAATCAGATCACGGATTTTATGCACTGTACTGAATCGGACTTGGATCTTATGTTTGTTTAGAATTTTGAGGATCTTTTTGGTCACGCCTGCTATGTATGGTAATGTGATAGTTTTGGTCGGAGTTTCATGTGGCTGTTTCTGTGTGGTGGGAGAAACAGCTTGGCGGATAGTGCGGTCAGAGTATCCGTTCATCCTGAGGGCCCGATGTACATGTCTTAATTCACCGGCCAGGTGGTGTTGGTCAGAAATGCCATGGGCTCTGTGGTATAGCGTTTTGATGAGAGAATTCTTTTGAGATGGGTGGTGGTGGGAATCCGGTTTCAAGTAGGAATCTGTGTGGGTGGCTTTCCTGTCGACAGAATGTCCCAAGGATCCGTCAGGCCTCCTCTCAAACAGAATATCCAAGAATGGTAGTTTACCATCTTTCTCCACTTCCATGATGAATCTGATGGATGGGTGTCTGAAATTGATGTGGTCCAAGAAGTGGTTCAATGCTGGGAGGCCATGTGGCCAATGACGAAAGTGTCATCCACATACCTCTTCCACAGGGAAGGATGCAGGGTGGATGTCTGGATGGCGTCTGATTCAAACTTTTCCATGAACATGTTGGCTATAACTGGTGACAAGGGGGAGCCCATAGGGGTACCCTCATTCTGTTTGTAGAAGGTGCCATTCCAGGTAAAATAGGTGTTGGTGAGGCAATGCCTAACCAGCGCAGGTACATCAGAATTCAATCCATGTTGGACTAAGTCCTCAATTATTGTTAGGGTGTCCGGTACTGGGACTTTGGTAAACAGAGATACTGCATCAAAACTGACAAGGATATCAGGAGATAGTACCATGTCCTTAACCATAGAGACTAATTGGGTTGAGTTGAGTACTGCCGAAGAGGTCTTGCCTGTGAAGGGGAGCAGAGTATCTGATAGAAAACGGGCTAGTTTGTACGTAGGAGAGTTTATCGTCGAAGCGGGGTGCCTTCTTTATGGATCTTGGGAAGACCATAGAGTCTGGGAGGTCTAGCCGCCGATGGTTTTAGAGGGACGTTTGCTTGGTTCGATTAGGGAAGTCGAACTCGTGATGATACTGTTGGTTTTTGTCGTTAGGCTTTTAGTGGGATCGTTTTTAATTTTGGAGTAACTCCCATCATTAAGAAGGTGCAGGATTTTGTTGTTGTATGAATCTTTATTCATGATGACCGTGGCATTGCCCTTGTCTGCCGAGAGGATGACTGTATCATCTCTCTTTTTAGGTCCGCGAGTTCAGAGCGTTCGTTTTTGCTGATGTTGCTAGTGGGTTTCTTAGCATTCTTAAGAATAGTAGCTATTTCAGCTCTTGCTACATCCGCATGGATGTGTCCTATGCCTCTGAGGGCTACATCAACCTGAATAGGTCTAGGCCTCCCCTAGGTTAACTCGGCCTCAAATGAGTACCTTGTGCGCCATTGGGGAGACAAAGGCGGTCGGCCATGGTGCTGGCCACCCACCCCCTCGTGTGCCGTGCCATCCTTTATAGGTGCTACTCGCTAACAGCACTTGCCCCAGCAGTCTGTTAAGGCTATACGGGGAATCTTTGTCTCTTGTGCATGTGTGTGTACTACACAGTTGTGAGCAGACTTAATACAATCAGTCCAGACACACCCCGCACGTTCCTTACTAATTATACTGGAGATCTTCGTCTTAGTGATTGATGTGACTGTTGGTGATGGTAACGTATGGGTGATGTGGTGGTGCTGGTGGTGAGGTGTGGTTGTAATCGGTGCGGCTGTTTGTGGTGTTCGCGGAGTAGGCCTTGGGTTTGACCGCCAGGCCACAGTGCGCCGCTCATACCTGGGCGGGGATGGGACCCTGAAACGACGGCACAACAAAGCCGGCGCCTCCTCTTCGTCGTCTGCAGTCGCGGTGATGTCCTCACGCCGGAGGACCATCTCCGGCTTCCCAGAGAGCCTGCAGCAAGACTTGGGTAACAACACAAAGACAAATGTTCCCCCCCCCCCGTGTAACCCACACGGGCGGTTAGGGCAAGTGCCGTTAGCGAATAACGACCAAGGTTAGCACGGCGCACCTACGAGGGGTTGAGGTGTGGGCCGGCAACCCACCTGGCCGTCTTTGTCTCCCCATTGCTCTAATTTTTACACTCCGCAAAGAGTATTGCATTTAAATCTGAATTGTTTTAGGAGAGACCCCAGACCGTTTCAGGAATTCGTATGTCGGCCGTGGGCAGGGATTGCACCCCGCGTCGCCGGGTTAGTAGCACCGAGTGCTAACCACTGAGCCCCTCCCCACAGACACACACCCATGCCGACACGTGAATGCTCATATGCACAAAGACAAAGATTCCCTGTATAGCCTTTACAGACTTATGGGGCAAGCGCTGTTGGTGTAGCATCAATGAAAGCCGGCACACCACATACCCGGCCGCCTTTGTTTCCACCAGGCAACCTAGGGGAAGCCCAGGACTGGTTGTATCTTCTCCCGGTGGTCGTGTGGATTTTTCTCCGGGTCCTCCAGTTTTTCCCTCCACATTTAGAATCAACATCACGCATTTAGAGTATTTGGCTGCTATACATTTCCACGTGATGAGCCACTTCGTTGAGATATAATTTGTGATGTCCAGGTCGCTTCTGATTAAGAGCTATACAGCCCGGTGGGCCTTATCTGGTAAAAATAAAAACAGTTTTCGGTGAGGGAGGGACGAGGACGCGGAGGAGACACATTGCCTCTCCGGTCCTAACAGTCACATCCCCCATGTCTCCCGCAGCCTCCGTGGGGAGCGAGCTGCGCGCCCAGCGCGGTCGCTCGCTCTACCTGCACAGCACGGCCGACGTGGCAGCTGGAGGCGACGTGGCAGCTGGAGGCGGCGTGGGCGGCGGAAAGCGAGACTCGCAGTGTCAGACGGACGGCGCCGTGCGCGTGGTGGCGCCCTCCATGCGCAGGATCCGTGCCCAGCGGGGCCACGGCATCGCCGCGCTCATGTGCCGCCCGCCCGGTGCGGGGCCCGGTGACGACGGCGACGCCGATTCCCTGGCCTACAAAAGCCTGCCTCGCCTGCCCTGGTGCCCACCTGGTCACGACAAGGGTGCACTGCGGAGGGACGCGGAGGCTTCTCACCTGGCCGCGTCGATGCCCGGGCTACACGACCCCCGCAATGGGCGAGGCTCCCCACGGGGAGCGACATCTCCGCGACCGTCTCCGTGCAACCGCTCGGGCTGCTCGGCGGACGGCGGGGAGGCTGCGCCGAGGCAGAGCAACGGCCCGTGGGCCGCCGCGACGGCCTCCCGTCCTCGGTCGGAGGAGATGGCGTCGAGCAAATCGCCGTCGCTGCCCGTGGGAGTCATCGCGCCGCAGGTGGCTGGGCGGCCTGGGCCAAACCACGGCGCAAACCTTCGCACCGGGTCGCCGATGTGTCGGCACGGCAGGGAGATGCCAGACGCGGCGGCGAAGGACGACGACGACGGCGGCGACGGTGACCGCCTGTCGTGGAGCGAGAGCGGCGCCTCTGTACAGAGCTTCGAGATGTTCGAGCCGAGCAACTCGGAAACGTCCGACACCAATGGCTCCGAGTCGACGGTCACCTCCTCCGGCCGCTCGGGACCGGCGCGAGGGTACCGCCCATCGGCGCAGGCGCCCTGGCCAGCCACGGCGAAGTGCCCGGACCGCCTGAGCCCGGCGCCCGGCCAACACTGGATCTCGTGTGGCGGCTCCTCGGCCCACAGTTTTTACGGGAGCGCCGAGGGCTCCTCGACGGGCACCGAGTGCGGCTCCATGTACTCGGTGGACGCGGACGGGTTCTACACGTCCATGCACGTGGACTGTGGCCTCTCCAGGGCAGGCGCCAGCGGCGCTTCGGCCACCCTCGCGATGCGCCAGGAGGAGCGGCGGTTGTCGGAGGGGAGCAGCGACAGCGCCGTGCTTCGCGCGGTGTCGCTCCGCAGGCCGAGGACGAAGCCTCCGCCACCGCGGAGGACCGACTCGCTCACCAGGAACTTCTCGCTCCGGCACGCGTCGGTGTCGCCAGAGCCGCTGCCCCCGCCGCCAGACGACGACCTCCTGGCGGATGGTGGCGAAGGCTACGTCTCGCGCGACTGGTTCCCCCGCAGTCCCCCGGCGGTTCCGCGCGCCGGCGACGCGGCTCCCCCGCGGGGCCGCCGGAGCCCTTGCGGCAGAGCGGCGACGTCGCCTGCCGTGGGCGACTTCGAGCGGGTCCCGCCGCCCCTCCTCTACTCGCTGTGCCCCCTGACCCCAACGCCGGGCGATGACGGCCACTCACGCTTCGAGTACGCGGAGAGCTGGCGCGACAGGGGCTCCGTCGCGGGAAGCGAGAAGTCGGCCACCTCGGACTCCGGCGGAAGTGCCGCGACGTCACGTGCCGACACGCCATGCGACTTCCCCGCGCGGCCCTCCGGTGACACTTCGGGGCTCGGAGAGGGTTGCTCCTCTACTTTGTGCGCTGCCCCGGCCCCGGGTCACAGGCCTCGGCCTCCCGCGGTGCCGCAGCGCCGGTCGTCGCTGATGACGGCGCCGGTTGACACAAGCGCAGAGGAGGAGGGGCCGCCCTCGCCGACATCGTTCCCCCCCCCTCCACTTGAACTCCTCGCTCCACCGCCACAGTACCGGTCCTCCCCCCCCCTCGAGTCTTCCTTCGCCGCTCTTCCTCCTCCTCCGCTGCCCTCTCCGCCGTGGTCTCCCGCCTCCTGGGCAGAGGGGCGTGCGCACCCTCCGGACGCCGAAGGGAACCGGATGCGGGACTGCAGCGCGACACCGCCGGCACTGCAAACCTGCAGCACGCCGTCTGTGGAGACGCTGCGGGCGACGGCCATGGCGAGTGATCCGGGGATGGAGGCCGGAGGCACGCGCAACGGCGAGACGGCGCCGCCGAAGAAGACGAAACCTCCGATCCTGCCCAAGCCGCCGTCGCCGCGGAGATACGGCAACCCCTTCGGTCTGACCGCCGGGGGGTTCCGGGAGGGAGGCAGCCCCCCCAAGGACGAGGCGGCGCGGGCGTCACGACAGGAGCTGTGCAGCGGAGAGGCTCCGCTCGGAGCACCCAAGCCCGGAGGTACATGCCGCCCGGTGGAGAGCGCAGTGAGGAGAGACGCCTGTGCCACGCAGGAGAGTGCCGAGCCTTCTGCCAAGAACGACAGCGGCTGCCCCGCGCTGGTGGACGGAGACTCTGTGATCCCGGCAGAACATTCCCAAAATCAGTTGTCCCACATCACTTGCAGCGCGATTCGGTCCAGCAAGTCCGAAAGCCATTCCAGTGAAATGCAGTCTAGAACATCTGAAATCCATTCCAATGATCTTAAGGCTGACACGCCTGAGTCCCATTCCGGTGAAATCCATTCCAGCACCTCTGACATCCATTCCCCTGACCTCCGGTCTTGCATGCCTGACATTCAATTAAGCGGAATTCAGTCCATTAAACCTGACATCTATTCCATTAAACCTGAAATCCAGTCTAGTAAACCTGAAATCCAGTCTAGTAAACCTGACATCCAGTCGAGTAAACCTGATATCCAGTCTAGTAAACCTGAAATCCAGCCCAGAGTGCCTCCTGACCAGGCCAGCAGCCTCCCAGCAGGGAGGAAGCCCCCTCCCCCCGTGGCCAAGAAGCCCACGGTGTCGTCTCTCGGGCTCGTTTCATCGTCCGGCGTGCCGCCATGCTCTCCTTCCCCCTCGTGGCCCTCGTCACAGGCGTCGCCAGTGCCGGAGGCGTCCCCTGCAGAACGGGCATCGGGCCGTTCCCTGGCCGCGACCGCCGATGTGCGGCGCTCGGAGCCGGCCGGTATGGCCCTGGGAGTTGCGGGGACTCCGCCGCCATCACCTGCACGCCCCTCCACGTCCGCGGAATTCGCCACGAGTGCCGGACAATCGCCGGGCGTGGCCTGTGCAGATGTGGGGCGCGGCGCAGTAGAGGAGGAGGAGCGGGAGGTGGTCTCAGTGGTCCCGGTAGACCCAGTGGGAGGAGGTGGAAGAGGGTCTGATGCAACAGACTCGGCACTGCGCCGTTGCTGTCTTGGTACGGAGGCAAGGACAGGAGATGAGGAGCGGCTGTCGCAATTGCAGGGTAAGGGCGTCCACACGCATGGCACGCTGGAAACGCGGCTTTCATTCGCCCTCCCGTGTCTCCTCTCGTCCTCCTGTGTCTCCGCTCGTACTCCCGTGTTTCCGCATGTCCTACTACGTCTCAACTTATTTCGCCCCCCTGTTCTGCGTCGTGCCATCTTTACTCCGACGCCCCGTTGTCCGAAGGCTCGAGCCGCATCAATAAAACTCGCGTCTCCGTCCGTTCGTATGCTGCGTCACGTCAGACGCACGCACCGCATGCGCAACCGTCTCGCCAACCCGGCCCAGGATTGCCGTGGGCGTTAACCCGCGACCATAACCCGCAAGCGTTTCACGATATGGCCCATCTTAGTCGTTTTTTGATGCGCCGTGTGAACGCTCCACGCAAATCTCTCGCGCACTACAGTGGTGGCGGTGACGGCGGAGGAGGCAGTGGGCGAGGCCTCCGAGGACGTGTTCACCGACAACGACACGGAGGCCGACGAGCGGTGGGACGCCGCGGAGCGGAGTGCCGGGAATACGGCAGCCCCGACCCACACCCTGAGCCACACACGCACCACGGAGGACCTCTTCGCAGCCATCCACAGGTGAGGCCGTGTGTGTGTGTGCATGCGTGTGCCTGCGTTTGCGCATGTGTGTGTCACAGGGAGAAGCACAGGTGGCATACAATTGTAGTAATTTGATGGCCTCGAGGCCCAATATCATGATCCGTTGCATTGGCGGCGCCGCCGCCGTCTCTCCCCGCAGGTCCAAGCGCATCCATCTGGGCCGCCACAACTCGGACGACACTTTCCTGCGACACCGGTCCATGTCGCCACCCGTGCGTTCGCCGGGGACCCCGTCACCCGGCGGGGTCCCCGGGGGGGCGCGAGGCCCCCCGGCACGCCGCGCAGGTCGCAAGCAGAGCACCAGCAGCGACGACTTCAAAGCGCTGCTGCTCCGCAAGGGCGCGCGCTCCGACGTCGGCACGCGCATGTCGGCCGTGGAGATGCTGAGGTCGGCGCGTTCGCCGGGCGCGCTCGCTGGGGCCACGGTGCCGGACCGGCCGGAGGACGAGGCGGAGTTCGCGGAGGCCGACGCGCCGGCGCGCGATAAGAGCCGGCGCTTTGTCAGTGAGGGCTTCTCCCCGCGTGGCGGCGGCGGGGGATTTGGCGGCTCGCCGGGGACGCCGCCACCACGCCTCGGCCGATCCAACACCCCGCCGAGTGCCGGCTCGAGGCGCTACAACAACCGCAGCCGCCTGCACAGCACGCCCATGCAGGCGATTCGCGAGGGCGAGGGCGAGGCGAGTGGGGACGCGGTGCCCTCCTAGAAACCCGCCCCATCGAAGCCCATTAGGTCGCCGGATTTGTGGCTCCCCACGCGTCCTCGCATGGCCTTGGGACAGGCTCCTGCCGGGAGAGCGGTGGTGCTCACTCAGCTGTAGCCGTGCGCGGTAACGGCATGCGTGGTGACGCCGTCACGGTAACGGCGTGCGCGTTTTTAACGGTAACTTATTGTCTTAGGGCGGTGCGTAGCGAACGGGCGTGCGAGTGCACGGTGTCTAGAGAGCGGGCGGGCGGGCGTCCCAGCACCATCGTGGCCTCTGCCCCTAATGGAAGGTGCCCTGGTGGAGGAGGTGGCGTCGAAACGAACGCTATCTCGCCTACTGTCCCCATTCACGACGATGTGGGGAGAACGCCCTCTTCTCTGCTCCGGGTTGGCAGGGGGTGCTGTGGGGGCAGGTAGAGAAACGGGTCCGACACTCCGTCTGGGTCGCTGGTAGACTGGAGGAGTAGGTGGCCCGTGATTCGTAGCCACGGCCACAGTGAGAGGTGGAATACTGGATGTGGTGTGCCGGTTGCGGAAATATTTTTTAAGTATCGCCAACCGACCTGGACAGACATGACTAAAATGAATTCCTGGACGGTGCGCGAGCAGAATTGCACTGCATACGTTTGTGTGTTTTTAATCGCGACGACGAAGATGATGATGATGTAGAATTTGTAAGGTGCGCTGTTCGTTTATTGTCTGAGAGAGGGAAAGAAGAGAGAATGAGGATGATGCAGATGCACGGAAAACCACAGATAAGTGGGGGAAGGTCGCCAGAAATGGCACCAGCAATATCCGAAGCTCTGTGGTCCTATGTCGAGATGTTCAACCAACTCCGTTAATAATAATAATGAGTTTTTTTTATAATTGTCAGGAAACCAGAGCACCTGGAGAACACCCACACGCCCGAGTTGGGATAACAGATGGAAATGAACCCACTTGCTGTCCTGCCATACCCCTGGCCAGCCAGGAGAAGGCGACCTCGACACGAAAGCATGTGTTATCCACCAACCCCCCGCCGCCTCCAGAGCGCAGGCTTGCAGGCCGTGTGCAGCGTAGCCAGCAGCTGACTGTGGGGCACTTCCAGTGTGGACCACCGTGGCGCCATGTGGCTTCAGAGATGGGGGCAGGGGGTGGAGTCACCCCCTGTGTGTGGGGAGGCGGGGGATGGTGACGTCGGGAGATATTTGAGATTGAATTCAAAATAAACTATTTTCTCTGCCGGGCTGCAGTCTCCATGAGCTCTCTCTTTGTTCTTCACGCACGCCTGGCCTCTGCCCACGTAAATCGTTGGAATTCCAGGGCACTGCAGCGTCGAACTGGGCAGGGGGCACCAACGGTGGCTAGGAGATGTCAACTACCTCGCCTGGTCTCCAGGAGGTCGTGGGTTTGATCCCGACCCTGACGCCTGCTGCTGTATGCTTGGAGTTTGTGTGTCTCTCTCTCTCTCATCATCATCACGGTGGTTAGGAGATGTTAACTACCTCGCCTGGTATTCAGGAGGTTGTGGGTTCAATCCCAACCTTGACGCCTGCTGCTGTATATTTGGAGTCTGCATCTCTCATCATCACGGTGGCTTGGAGATGTTAACTACCTCGCATGGTCTACAGGAGGTCGTGGGTTCGATCTCGACCCTGACGCCTGTTTGTATATTTGGAGTTTGCGTGTTCTCTTTCTCTCTCCCCGTGGTCGGATTGATTTTTCACTGGGTCCTCCAGTGTTTCCCCTCCACATTTAGAATCAACAACACGTGTTTTTGGCTGCTATAAATGTTCACACAATAAGCCATTTCGTTCAGAGATTTGTGATAACCATGTCGCTTCAGAAAAAGAGCGACAGTATATTGCTCAGTGGGCCTTGCCTGGTAAAATAAAAAATAATAAGAATGGCGCGATACTAAATTAACTAAATTTAATACGTGAATCAGCCCATAATGTAAAACGTATATGGTCTCCGATGCATGTGTTGGCGAGTGCTCTACCACCACCCGTGTCACAAGTTTCGTGGTGCTGACATTTACAGCTTGCACAGGCTCGAGCACACCCAGCTCTCTGCCCTTCTCTGCAGGACCATCTGGGAGAACATCAGTGGGCCTTACCTGGTAAAATAAAATATTTGTAGGTTTTTTTTTTTATTCCGGGATTGTGGTTCTGTTTGCGCCGTGGTGGCGCAGCGGCAGAGCAAGCAGCTCCGCGAATTGGAAGGTTTTGCGAGGTAAAATTGTGCGCGATGGTGGATCTGAAGCGTCGGTAGAAATTCCACATGACGAAGATGGAAGTTAAATCGCGTCCCACATGTAGAGTCTGCAGTGGTCTGGCAGTAGGGGGGGGGGGGGGTCGATGCTGCTCTATTCTGAACCCGATCTGGTTAGTTAAGCGGAAGAGCAAGTGAGCGAATCCAAATGTTGAGAGTTTAAATCCTGGCTTGGGGAATGGGGTGGGGGGGGTTGACTCGGCCCATCATCTCTCCCTCCGGGGTCAATAAAATAAGTACCACTTTGTATGGGGGCAGATTTGGAGTGGTTGTCCAATGGATAGACCCATCCCTGCTGCCATAGGACCGTGTGAATTTCCAGTGGTGGCAATTTCCAGTGGTGGAAATTCACACTGTCAAACGTGGGACGAACACCAATGGTTCATTGCACCTGTGGGCTCTGTCTTGTTTTGATCGTCCTGGGGAGAGCGTATCTGGGTGAGGTTTTCAGTTGATCCATTTACAGGTAGAGGAAGCTCTGCAGGTGGACCAATTTAGAGTATTTTTGCTCGACTCATCCACGCCGGCCGGATGCCATGAAAGATGTTTTGGTACCCATGCTTTACCCCACCACACGCAACAACCTGCCTTTCGGCTTAACTGGTATAACTACCCATTTTTACTGCTTGGGTGGGTGGGGGAGGTGGGAGATGGATGTATTTAAGAAATTGGCGCCATTATTTCAACTCCTGCTTCAGGAGATGGAACTGAACCGGCGATCCTCAGGATTATAAGTACGGTGTTGCTGCTCACCATTATTACCACTGCGGCAGCATTGCTCGTACGCATTAGTGCAGTGGTTTTAAACCTCGGGTGCGAGATGCTCTTTCTGGGGGGTGCGAGAGAGTGCCAGATTTATTTTAGAAAGTAAATCATCGAAACTCAGCACGGCCACATAAGTACAACTATTTTGTTTAATCAAACCTATGTATTTATTAGCATGCTTTATTTTTACTATTGAGAACCCAAGGAGTGCAAGGCTGCAGTAAAGGTTAAGAACCACCGCATGAGTGAGACGTGATGATGATGAAGAAGTCGCGGGGGTTCCGTGCCCTGCACCCACAGCCCTCCAGCTCCTCCCCGCCGTCTCCGCAGTGACTCTCCCCGACTCCCCGCCCCCTCGACTCGAAGCGACCTTGGCAGTCTCCGCACCTTCTGCTGCTCTGCGCGATATCACCGAGGGCGCGTAGCGGGCTCCAAGGTGAGATGCGTGTCGCTGCCCGTCTCCACGCGTGTCAGAGTGACTAAGTGACTGCGTCTACACACGCGTCTGTGAGTGACTACACGTGTCTGAGTGACTGTACTCGTGTCAGTGACTAAGTGACTGTCTCTACACGCGTGTCTGAGTGCGAGTGACAGTCTTTACACGCGTGACTGCGAGTGACCGTATCTACACGCGTGTCAGAGTGACTACACGTGTCTGGGTGACTACTCGTGTCAGAGTGACTAAGTAACTGTCTACACGCGTGTCTGTGAGTGACCTATCTACGCACGTGTCAGAGTGACTAAGTGACTGTCTACACGCGTGTCAGAGTGACTACACGTGTTTGGGTGACTACTCGTGTCAGTTACTAAGTGACTGTCTCTACACGCGTGTCTTAGTGACTGTGAGTGACCGTCTCTACGCACGTGTCTGAGTGACACGGTCACTTAGTCACTCTGACACGCATTGTGTACTTTGATGTAAACACGCGTGTCAGAGTGACTGTAAGTGACCGTGTCTACACACGTGTCTACACGCCTGTGTCTGTGAGTGACTGCGAGCGAGCAGTTGCAGGACTGCGCCTTCGCCTCTCAACGTGCGTGTGTGCGCGTGCGTGTGTGTGTGCGTGTTTGTGTGCGTGTGTGCGTGTGTGTGTGCGCGTGTGTGTGTGCGTGTGTGCGCGTGTGTGTGTGTGCGTGTGTGTGTGCGTGTTTGTGTGCGTGTGTGTGTGTGCGGTACGTCTCATGTATGTCCAAGCGAGCCACGCCGAGTCATATCACTCGTTTTCAAAAGGGCCTCCTGCCGCTGCAATTGGGTTGTTTTTAATTTGTCATACTGTTATACGTTTACATCAAAGTACACAATGTTGAATGGGATGAGAAGCCTTGCGCGAGGGGGCAACACTCTATTCCCACCGTAGAAATGGAATCAACGGATGTGCTATGAGTCCACACACTTTTACCGCCGTCTGCTGGCGAGCCAGGGCTACGGCTCCTCCTCCATAGTCCACCCACGGATTAAGAAGGAGCGTCTCACAGCAGCGTCTGTGTGTGATCCACCAACACTCGCCGCCTCGACAGTGCTCGATCACCAGGCAGTCGCAGCCGCGGTGTGGTGGCGTGGCCACCAACAACCACCAACAACAACCACCACCACGAACCGCCCCGCTCTCACGATTGGCTATGGGGCAGCTGGGATAACGTCACTGCGGTTGAAGTGGAATCGGTTCGTCATTGCCCTGGCACTGGTGGCCCGGTATAAATATCGCGGGCTGGGTGGTGGCGGGAATGGGGGTGGGGGTCGGGTTACGTCGCAGCTGTCGTCCTGCCCATCCATATTTAGCCGGGGGGGCTCCGTGTGCCCCGGCCCGGAATAGCCGCGGCGGCGGCAGTGGCGGCGGCTTCGCGGGCCCGCCAAGAATATAGCCGCGTGGTGGGGTGACCCGGCTGACTTGGTGGTGTGGTGGAGGGTTAGGGGGAGATTGCGTGCGGTGTTAATGCTCGTCGTCTCTCTGGTTCTTTCCGTGCGGTGTCAAAACCCGCGGATTGTAAGAAAGGGTCACCGTTTCTGAGTCGGGTGTTCTCGTGTGTGTTGGGAGTACAACGGGTAGCGTGCCGCACTGCGCTACAAACCCGGCGACCCGAGTAAAATTCCAGCTCACTACCAAATAACAGTGGCGAATATTTGAACCAGTCCTCCCCGAGGTCGACTCAACCTCAAATGAGTGTGTAAACATCCTCACTCGGAAGACAAAGGTGGCTGGGCGTGGTGTTCTGGCCACACACCACCTCCGTGCTGATCTTTCATCGGTGTCCGCGAACAGCACTTGCACCCAACAGCCCGTGTAAGCTACACGGGGCAAACTCGTCTTCATCGTGCGTGCCGCTCACAGGGCCAACGACAGCTCCCAGATGGAGGCAGAGCAGCTCACGTGCCCACCTTGCCAAGAGGCCCCCCAGGACCCCACAAATCCCGAGACCCCCTCCCCCCCCATGACACCGGAGGCCACGGCGACCCTCGAGATCGCCCCGGCTCCCGAGGGCCCTGGGAACCCAGAGACAGCTCCTGAGGGCAGTGCGTCGCTGGAGGCCGAAGTGGCGTCGCAGTCCGTGAAGGTCGGCCCAGCATCGCCGCCGCAGGAGGCCCCCTGCAAGGCCGAGGGGCCGCCCGCAGTGACAGCGGAGGCTGTGCTGGAGGAGACAGGCGCGCAGTTGATAGAGCCTGGCAAAGTGGAGGAAGCCGAGTTGTCTGCAGTCCAGGAGCTGCTGACACATCCGGTGAACAAGAAGAAGTTTGGTGAGTGGTGGCGTGGCTGTGGACCATGTTACTCTATGGGCAAATGCTCGTCTATGGGCAATGTTCGTCTATGGGCAATGTTCGTCTATGGGCAATGTTAGTCTATGGGCAATGCTAGTCTATGGGCAATGCTCGTCTATGGTCAATGTTAGTCTATGGGCAATCAAACTTAATTTGGAGCTTTCGTGACTGCAGGAATTATTCTTTGGTTCTTTCGGTAAAGTCACGTATAAAGATAAAATAATAAATTAAATTAAATACTAGCATACGACGTTTCGATTGCAACACAAGCAATCATCATCAGGTATAAATTAAATAGAAACACAAATCTAATATACTTAGAAATGTAATGTAATACAACAGAGAGTCGGATAACATAACAGTCAACACCCTATCTGGTTGATTACGTTCTTCCTGAGAATGCTACATTTGAGAGAGAGATTAAACACAGAACCAGCAACATAGACAGACATATAAGCAGACAGATACATAGAGAGAGAGCAAACATAGGCACAAAGAGAAACTATGCCTCTGTGTCGAGGCCTTAAATAGAGAAAGGGGGGGCGGCGGGGAGAGAGGGAGGGGTTAGAGAAATTAGCATGTCCATGAGTGGAAACGGTGAGTGGCAAGGTGTAAAAAGCTTGAGAGAGGGGGGCAGGGGCGGAGAGAGAGGGGTTGGAGAAATTAGCATGTCAATGAGTAGCACGATGAGGGGTACGGTACGAAAGCTTGAAAAAATTAGGAGGTAGGGAGAGAGACACACTAAATTAACTAAACTAGCAAAACTTTGGAAATGTAAGGCAATGAAACACAGAGGGTCGGTCAACACACAATTAACGCATAGCCTGGCTGATTACGTTCTTCCAAAGATTGCTAAATTAGAAGTTAAGTGTGAAATTTGAAAAAACACAGGCACGAAGACCGATACACAAGCAGAGTCTATGGGCAGTGTTCGTCTATGGGCAGTGTTCGTCTATAGGCAATGCTAGTCTATGGTCAATGTTAGTCTATGGGCAATGTTAGTCTATGGCCAATGCTAGTCTATGGGCAATGTTCGTCTATGGGCAATGCTAGTATATGGGCAATGTTCGTTTATGGGGCCGTCCATGAATGACGTCACGCACCTGGGGGGGGGGGGGGTCAGATATTTGTGACGATGTGTGACGAGGGGGGGGGGGGGTTGAGAAATGTGACTTCACATCAAAATGCACAACTTTAAATAAATAGACAATACGTTCTACTTTATTAAATCGACTTTTTAATAAATGTTTTCTCCTACAACATCAGAGTGCAGCCGCACATTAAATACGCACTACAATGACAATAGTTTAAAGCGATTTGATGCATGTTTTATATTTTTTGGGGGGGGGGAGGGGGGGGCAGAGCTTTGTGACGTCACATTTGAGGGGGGATCTGACTTTTTGTGACACCGTGTGACGAGGGGGGGGGTTAAAAATCGTCCAAAATCGCGTGACGTCATTTATGGACGGCCCCAATGGGCAATGCTCGTCTGTGTAATGTTCGTCTATGGGCAATGCTAGTCTATGGATAATGTTAGTCTATGGCCAATGTTCGTCTATGGGCAATGCTAGTCTATGTGTCGTGGGTTCAACTGAGTCGCACTCTTAAACTTGGAGGCAGCGCATTTATTTAGTTCCAACACAACGGAGTGACTTCCTCTTTAACAAGACAACAACCTAGGGTGGTGACCACCCAGCTAATTACCCCTGGCTACTGAGTAACTGTTAACTCCGGACCCTGGTCTACGTGCTGGAAGACTCGTAGAACGGAGATCGTAGACGAAGGGTTTCTTCACCGGGACAGACAACCACGATCCCTCTCGGGAAACTGCTTATATTCTCTGCGGCTTGGCCGGCTCTGTCCTTGGCCACGCCCCCTTCCAGAGCCATCGGGAAGAACCTGGGTTCCAATCACGTGGCCCTCCTAGCCCCCTCTTGGGGCCCCCCTGTCAGTTAAACTGGTCACATGTCCTCCCGGGTCAACCAAAGTTCTATGGCCTTACCCGACCTTTCTCTTAGGTCGGCACACACACGCCGTGCCCTCTCGGGCCGGCACTGCACTTATAAAATGGTGCCATCCAGCGATGTCACTCCACGCACACCGTGCTCCTCTAGGGCCCGTACTGCACCCACAACATGGTGAAATCCAGCGATGTCACTGCATCTTTACAATGCGAGCCTATGGGCAATATTAGTCTACGGACAACGCTAGTCTATGGTTAGTCGCGTGGTGTTCTTTCTCAAAGACGTCGGTGAGCATGTCCGTGATATTTTACTCTAGAACTTTGCATCAGTCACTCCTTCCAGTTGCATCAAATTTCTTCTGTAAATACATTCGCCATCTTCCCCAGCTTCGGTGCGGATCAATTCTGTAAATAAAAGTCCAACACGACATCGTTACTAGATCTCGGCACAAAAGCAATTCGTGCCGCCCGAACCCAGACGCCGATTCCCGGAGTGTGGGGGCTAAACCCAGAGGGGGAGTCCAACCCAGTCGTGTCTCACGGTGGCACCCACTTACGTGAGCATGCGTGTGTGCGTTTGTCTTTGTGTGTGCGTGTGTGCATGCATGTGAGGAGCGGTAGTTTAGCGGTTAGTACGTTGCACTCTGAACCTGACGACCCGAGTTAAATTCCCACTCACGGCCAACACCAGTGACAATTATCTGAACGGGTCATGGGCCCTCCCCTAGGTTGACTCAGCATCAAATGAGTACCTGGTGCGATGTGTACACAATGCCACTGGGGAGACAAAAGCGGCCGGCCGTGGTACTGGCCACCCACCCCCTCGTGTGCCGGGCCGGCTTTCATAGGTGCTCGCTAACAGTACTTGCCCCAACAGTCTGTTAAGGTTATACTAGGGATTTTTGTCTTTGTTTTGTGCGCGTGCGTGTGCAGCCAAGCTGCTAGTGCAGCTCATGGAGTCGCTAAGCGACTTCGCCAGCCCCGAGGAGAAACTGGCGGCGCTCTGCAGCAGATACACAGAGATGGTAGTGATGGGCACACACGCAAGCCACGCACACACGCACACCACGCACGCACGCCACGCACGCACGCCACGCACGCACGCCACGCACGCACACCACGCACGCACACCACACATGCCCATGCTGAGTCACCCATGCAGTCTTTGCCGCGTCACCGCGCGTGTCTCTCAGTCTCTGCAGGCCCGGTCATCGCGCCAGCTCGCCGCCGCCGCGTCCCATGAACGTGACCTCCTGCGCACTGACAACCACCGCCTGCTGCTCATGAAGGGGAAACTCGAGACTCTGTGCAGGGAGCTGCAGCGCAACAACAAGCAACTGCTGGTGAGGACCTCCACCGTCCATCCATCGGACTCTTTAAACGAAAACCTTGGTGCAGCCGACGTTTCGCTTGCGTGGGTCACGGATGGAGAACGGGGCGGGCGACAAATAACCGTTGGGGCTGCCGGTGGCATTTTGCAGCCAGCGTCTTCAATCGGCCTCGTCACGGTCGTGTTTGTCGGGCGGCGGTCGCGGCCATCATCGCGCCAACCATTTTCATTGTCGTCGCCGCCGATGATCGCCGTGACTAGCCGGCGGTTGTGCATTCAGACAATGGGCCGGGAGCAAAGCAATTAACGGACGGCGGTTGTCCCCCACCCCCCTCCTGTGGCCACATGCAGGACGAGAGCCTGGAGCGCGTGCACACGGAGGAGAAGAAGCGGCGCGAGATGACGGAACACTTCCAGGCGACGCTCGACAACATCCGCAAGCAGATGGAGCTGAACGAGGGCCGCAGTGACCGGCTCCGTGGCGAAAACCAGGAGCTGGCGGAGCGGCTGAGCACGCTGCTGCGAGACTATGCGCAGCGGGAGGAGGTGAGCCTGCCGCCACCGAGTCGCCAGCGCGAAGCCCGCGGCCGTTTTTCTCACGTTGATGCCTCATTGTGTTTCCCTCTCGCTCAGCAAGTGGCGAAGATCCTCAAGTACCGGGAGCTGCAGCAGCAGCTGTCGGCCGTGAAGCTGCAGGAGGAGTCGGAGCTGCGGCGCGACGGCGAGCAGCGGCACGAACGTGACAAGGAGTTTGTGCGTCGCGCACTGTGGCCACCACAAGCACACACACACATATGAACGCACGCACGCATGTGAGGTTCGCGCATTGTGCAAGAACACGTGTGTAAAGTTAATGCGTTATGCGGGACACACGCACGTGAAGTTCATGTGTCACGTGAGACACACGCATGCATGATGTTTACGCGTCATGTGGGACACACACACAAATGAAGTTCACGTGTCGTGCAGAACATGCACGCATGATGTTCACGTGTTATGCGGGACACACACACCTGATGTGTGATGCACCTGACACACCCACCTTGCAGAGGCCATATGTGATGTTCACATGCGTCAAACGTGTCCCGCGTGGCATTCATACGCCTTGCGTAACACACGTGCGACGTTCACATGTGCTCCAAACCTGGTGACCCGAGTTCGATTCCTGCTCATGGCCAGCATCAGTGGCGAATATCTGAACAGATCCTAGGCCTCTTCCTTGGGCGATTCAGCCATAAACAAGTATTTGGTATGATGTGTAAACATCACCACTGGAGGGACAAAAAGGCCGGGGCATGGTGCTGGCCAAACCACCCTCATAGATACTCCGTGTAGGCTGTACAGGGGGATGTTTGTCTTTGTATGTGCGTGCCATCGTAAGCTGCTCATTAACAGCACTTGCCCCAACAGACTGTGAAGGCTATTTTAGGGATCTTCGTCTTTTGCCGTCCTTAGCTGCTGCACCAGGCGGCTGAGAGCAAGCTGGTGCTGAAGGTGATGGAGGAGAAGGAGGAGGCTCTGAAGAGACAGGTGAGGGGCAGCCACTGCGCCCCACTGCTCACCACCACCACCGCCCACACAGTACCTGGCCGTGCCCACAGAAACCACGATTATTGAAGCTCTCCAACTCAGGCTGAGAGCATTCGTGCATCAGTTCTGTCCATGTGTTCGTCTGTCTGTCACAGGGTGGTGGTGGGTGGGATGATAAGTCTCCTACAGATGATCAAATTATAACTGGAAAACAAATGCAGAATTTCATCATCATTGCTTCAACACAAGCAAACTCGACCGATTTTGTCTTTTGTCAGTGGCCAGGCTTAAGCTTATCAGTAATCAGGCTTAAACCAAAGGGAGCCCTTGCCCTATGAACATCTATGAACATTCACCAGCATCTGTTCAAGCAAGCTTGCCTCTGCTGATGAAACACTGAATATTAAAAGCAGTCCTTGCCCATAACCTTTTCACAGTTCACCGCAGCACTGGTTCAAGCGAGCCCGACTGCTAATGAGACACTGACCGTCGAGAACGATCCAGAATTTTGCTCGCACCGAACCAATGCTGTTGACATTACATGCTCCGAGGGGAAAGGCTGTGAGGCTGATCGGATGTGGGAAGGAATCGTCGTGTTGTCTGCTTCCTTACTTTGTTCCCTACGTGTGGCTCATGCACCCTGAGTTAAAGCGGGGTTGAGGGGGATTGGGGGGGAGGTAGCGTGAGCCGTGGACCTGCCCCTTGGGCGGAAAGCTCTATCGGAGGACTCATAGTTGGTTGAGCGGCTCTGCAGTGCCTGTGCAACCGTATGTGCGTCTGCGTGTGTTTGCCGACAGCTGCTGCTTTACACGCAGAGGATTTCCGAGTTCCAGGAAATGCTGACCAAGAGCAGCAAGAGCTTCTCCACCTTTCGCGGCGAAATGGACCAGGTTCGTCATCGCATGATAATGCCGCACGCACGCATTCACGTCAACATGTGGCCACTCGTATTGGGGTTGATGGCCACTGGGGAGACAAAGGCGGCCCGGCGTGGTGCTGGCCACTCACCCCTTCTGGTGCCATGCTGGCCTTCATAGGTGCTACTCGCTATGAGCACTTGCCCCGAAAAGTTTGTTTAAGGCTATACGGAGTAATCTTTTCTTTAGACACCATGTGTGTGCGACACTGTGTATGTGTGTATGTGCGGCCAAGGGGGGTCTGGATGGGTGCGAGGGCCTGTTAACCTCTCCACATTCAACTGAACTACCACTAAAACACGTGTTAAAAATCGAATTAACCTTGTGCTGGACGCCCTGGGGGGACAGGCGTCTATAACATCTCCTGGCCAGGAGACTGAATCCTTACCTTCGGCATTCCTCCAGAAACAGCAAAAGGCCATTTTGGGTGGCCATGTGGAATGTTCCAATGCTCACTGCAGAGGAAAGGCTGCCACTCCTCAGGAGCTGGACTGGTACCACCTCGATCTCTGCGGTATTCAGGAGGTCCAGTGGACTGGCTCTGGCTCCTTCCACCTTAAGGGGTGGACAGTCCTAAACTCGGGACATGAGACTGCCAAACAACAGGGAGTGGCTCTTCTTCTGAACAAAATAATGAAGGGGGCATTGGAGCATGGTGATGAGGTGTGGGAAGCTATAAGCCCCAAGCTAATGTGGACTCACCTTCCCATCAACCAGAGGTGAGGAGTGGTGGTCATGGTTACTTATGCTCCCACCGAAGATGAACATCAGTGGAAGGATGCAGGCAAGGCTGTTGAGTCAGATGACTTCTATGACATCCTGTCACAGGTGCTAGCTAAAGTGACCCCTCTGGATAGTCATCCTGTTTGGTGACTTTAACACCCAAGTGAGTCATGATGCCGGAACCTCGTCTGGAGTGATTGGAAAGCATGGACAAGATCAGCTCAATAACAACGATAGGAGGGTGCTAGACGTTTGTGCAGCCCATGGGCTTGTAATTATCAACACACTGTTCCGGTGTTGGCGCATCCACACAACATCATGGATGCATGCCGGGTCCAAGAAAGAACATCTGCTGGACTATATTGTGACGGAACAGCGGTTGCAGGCCCATGTGCTTGACACCAGGACCAACCAGGGAGATAATCTGCCCACTGACCATCGGCTTGTCATCTGTAAGATGCGCCTGCCATGTTTCCACTCTGGTGGCAGGTGTGCATCCAGGACCCCATTCAACCCCACAGTGTCCTGGTCTCAGCTAGCTGATAAAGTTGCAAGTAAGAATTTAATCATCGCTTGCAACTGGGGTTGGCATCGTCCTCCACTCCTCCTGATACCAAGGGGAAATGGCCGAGGTTTAGGACTGTGGCCCATGCAGCTGCAATGGCTGCTTTGGATGCACAGTCCAAACCTCCCCAGAGACCTTGGCTGTCAAAAGAGGTGTTCCGGCTGGCTATGAAAAAGCGACAGGCCCACTCTCACCAGCTACAGCATCCCACGTCAAACAATGAGGAGGCTAACTGCAGCCTTCGCTCAGAGGTTCGTAGAGCCATGCGGCACTGCAAGGATGGGTGGTGGTCGCAGATTTCTGGGGAGATGGAGTCTGCCTCCATAGCCTGCAAACACAAATCACTTTTTAACTCCATCAAAGAAATAACTTGCAGCACCACACCCATTACCATCATTAGGGGAAAGAAAGGTGATCTGATCTCTGACCCCCAAGAACAGGTTTGCAGATGTGTGGAGCGTTTCTGAGGGGAAATCCTTCAGCCTGGAAAACATCAAGGGGCAAAGTGGGGATGACCCTGCTGAGGCTACGTGCCTCAAATATTGGAAAAAGTAGTCACCCCTGTGAGTGGCTGGCTGAAGTGCCATCTTTTGGAAGTACAGACGGTGATCCAGAGTCTGAGACCAGAAAAAGCATCGGGCAGAGTTGATCTCCCAAGCGAAATGTTGAGGGAGGATGACGTTTGTGCGCAGACTGCCCTAGATGACATCAATAACAGGCTGGACCACTGGATGGGTTCCGCAGGATTAGAAGGATGCCCTGGTGGTCCCACTCTTTTAGAAGGGGGACCACACAGACTATAACAACTACAGGGGCATCTCCTTCCTCAGTGTGCTAGTGTAGTGACATGAAATGTTGTCACTCTATGGTTAGCGCCAGCCACTATTACACATGTGCTGCTGAGCATCGGGTAATGGAGGGACACGTGACTGGGAGCCGGGGGCTTCTTACTTGATAGAGTAGGCGGCGTGGCCGAGGGCGCGGCGAGCCCGCGCCCAGGGAAATAAAGGAGGAGCCCCGACAGGGATCGGGGTTCATTGTGGGGATCAGCCTGGGATCCCGCGTCTCTTCGTCCTCACTCTCCTCGTTCATTGGCAGTTGTAGCTTCAGGTCGTGGGTCAAACAGCATGAGTGCTGGCTGGCCCGTTCACTACAGTAATCTGCACGCACATAGTGAACAGATAGCCACACCTAGCTATAGAACCTGAAGTGGTTAGAGCGGTGTAAATAAACGTGTTGCCTCCAACTATAGTGTGTGTGACTCAGTGCTATATACACTACACTAGGAAAGGTCCTGGCAAGGATTATTCAACATCACTACAGTAATTTTACTGGAGCAGTTACACCTGATGACGGAGGCTTGTGTTGCTTCAGAAACGTCGTGATTTTATTATTATTTTATTTTATTATTATTATTTTTACCTACGTGACTTTGCCGAAAGAACCTAAGAGTATCGCCTTGCCAGGCACTCTGAGGAGAGGCTTGTGGAGCCCCAATGTTGTTTCAGGAAATGTCGGTCCTGCACAGATGCCATATTTTCTGTACGTCTGCTACAGCAGAGGTGGAGGGAATTCGAAAGGGACCTAGATCTCTGCTTTATTGACCTGGTCAAGCCCTATGATAACATCAGTAGGCCTGTGCTCTGGGTTGTTCTTCGTGCTTTCGGAGTCCCTGACTCTCTGCTCACAATCATTAAGGACCTTCAAGATGGTGCGCAGGCCCGGGTAAAACTACGTGGCCGGGAGTCAGAGCCAATCCTTGTTCGCCCTGGTGTGATAGGGTTGTCCTCTGGCTCCATTATTTAACATCAATTTTGACCACATCGTTTGTGAAACCTTTGAGAGCTGTACCGGAGGAATTTTCATCTGGTACAGATACAATGGGAGACTGATCGATGCCTGGGTGCGGTCAAGGGTTGCCTCCCTATTGGTCAACCATGTTATATATGCTGATGATCTGGTGAATGCTGCTCACTCAGACGAGGAGTTGGAGGTGTTTCTGCTGAACCTGGAGCATGTGGGTTCTTACCATCAGCCCGACCGAAACTAAGCACCTGCCTGGGTATTTTGTGCCATCAGACACTCCACGCCCACAACTCCCAATTGCTAATGGGGCAGTTGTGGAGAGAATGGAGAGTTTTCCATAATTGGGCGGTGTGCTCATGACCAGCTCCGGTTTAACAGCAGAGGTCTCACTCCGAATCAGTCGAGTGGCAATATCTTTTCATCGGTTGCGTAACGCCGTGTGGAAGCTACCTGGTCTGTCGCTCCACACAAAGCTTCAGGTCTTCTCGGCCACGGTCATTCCCTCCCTTCTCTATGCTTGCGAAACGTGGACCCCCCTAATGGAGCATCTTCGCCAGTTAGAAACATTTAGGCTGGCGTGCCTACAATCCATCCTGGGTTTAACCAGGCTGGATGTGAGGAGCTCACAAATCCTTGAAAGATCTGGACAAAGTCCCATTGGTGAGCTCCTCCGGCAGGCAAGGCTGCGTTGGCTGGGTCATGTAGTCCGCATGCCCAGCCACCGCATGCCTAAACAGATTTTGTTCGGCCGGATTGAGGGGGCTAAACGGGCGCGGCACGGGCTAGAGAAGAGATGGAGTGATGTGGTACAGGAGGACGTGGAGCTGAGTGGACTTGCCGATGACTGGTACCAGCGGTGTCAAGGTCGGCCTCTGTGGAGGAGGCTCGTGAAGGACGCTACTGGGCAGTTGGAGGCAATCGCCCTCCAACAACAACGGAGGGCGGAGGAGCAACGCTCACAACAATGAGCAGAGCGCCAGGTGGCTAAAGCACAGCAAGTTGGCACAGTAGGGTGCACAGGTGGTGCATCAGCCAGTCATCTCAGTCATCTCAGTCAGTCGACCAGTGGCACCTGGGTCTGCCCCGTGACCTCCTGCCAGCGGGCGTTCGACACTTCACGTGGCCTCAATGTGCACATCGCCTGGCACAAGCGTCGTGGTGACGTCATCGCCACTTAGTGTCAAATGGCGGTTGTTGTGTTGTATTTGCACGTGATGCGCAGATGACAAAGAAGATCATGAAGCTGGAGAAGGAGGCACTGGTGTGGAAGGAGCGCTGGCAGCAGAGCAGCCGGGCCCTACTGGACATGACTGAAGAGGTGACGACACGACACACAATGCTATCACAACAGATGTCATGGTTCATAATTAGTGTATTTTGGGTTTGATAATCGTTTAGGTGTAATGTCACATATTTATTTTTACTATAACCCTCCACTACCACTCAGCGACTGGCCAATCAAATCAAGTGTTCACGGCTATGGGAAAATATGCCAATTTATTTGGTTTTTCAGCAAACAGGAGGAGGAAAGATGAAAAGTCCACACACTGGAGATTACAAGCAGCATCGGCAAGGAGGTGTTAACAAACGCTCAGCTGTCCTCCGCTAACCATGCTAAATGTAAAGAGCTGAGCATTATCACCTAATCTCTCTCTAGCTTAGAGCAAGTACAGTGGTACCTCGGTATAAGACCGCTTTGGAATATATCGAATTTGGTATACGTCGTGTTTTTACGAGAGGAAAAATGTCTTGGGATACGACGTCTTGCTTGGGATACGATGCGCTTGCTAGAACTTGTATGGGTCGGGATGAGTCACCGCGTACAGTACGCGCGTATGCCCTGTTCACGACTGAAATAAAGCGAGAGGGGCGGGGTGGCATGGGGGAGAGGGAGAGAGGCGGGGGGCGTGGGGGAGAGGGGCGGGGGGGCGTGGGGGAGAGGGGCGGGGGGGCGTGGGGGAGAGGGGCGGGGGGGCGTGGGGGAGAGGAGCGGGGGGGCGTGGGGGAGAGGAGCGGGGGGGCGTGGGGGAGAGGGGCGGGGGGCGTTGGGGAGAGGGGCGGGAGGGCGTTGGGGAGAGGGGCGGGGGGGGGGCGTGGGGGGCGTGGGGGGCTGCCCCCATGGATGGTGGAGCCCCGGGTCGAGGTGCGCGCGACGTGCGGGGTTGAGGCACGTCACGTGGCCAGCGCAGCTAACAGCAGCGCGGTCACGTGGCTTCTGTATGCATTTTAGTAATTGGTGTTTAAATTATTTTATACAACCCCATTAATGTATAATATGCCATATAAAATATGATTTCTTATACTCTGGAATGGATTATTTCCTTTCCCCTTATTTATATTGGGAAAAATTGGTTTGGTATACGTCATTTTCGGTATAAGTCCTACCTTCTGGAACGAATTAACGATATATACCGAGGTACCACTGTATGTGCAAATCACACGTCCCAGTTTAAGTATGTAAGCCATGTGATAGCTTCAGGAGTATTGCGACTAATTCTGCTCAGTCCGTCGGAGAGCGGGCGTAGGATGCAGTTGTTCACAATATGGTCCATTGTCTGGTTCAGGTGGCCGCAATCACACTGTGGGTTGTCTTTAATTTTCTTCTTGTGGAGGAGGTGTGCGCAGTGACCTGTTGCTGTTATGAAATGGTTGATAGTTTTCTTGGCAGATCAACACCGTGCATAGCAATCATGGGATCCTCGATGAGGCTTTTATTTGGAATGTCCACAGAACTCCACAGTGTTGGCCAGCGGTCTTCAATAGACCCCGCTTCATCCAATTGTCTTGCACAATCACAGATTGGTTTCCAGGATTTCAAACGAGTTCGTGGAGGGTTAAGCAGGTCTTGTTGTAATGGTAAATGTACACTGCCTCGGATTTTTTTCCAATAGGTTTGCTGTCGCTGCATCCCGGCGGAGGTTTGCTGGTGTAATGTTGGCCAGAACCGGTAGCCACTCAATGGGAGTGCATTTCAGTGTGCCCGTTATTGTTCGAAGGACGCTGTTGTTTTGGACGTCCAATTTCTTTGTGTGGACGCTTGATGCCCAGAATGACACGCAGTACTCGGCGCTGGAGTGCACGAGCGCGAGGGCGGTCATGCGAAAAGTATTGGTGGTGGCCATCCAACTTTGTCCCGGGCCAGTTTGCATAACAGAGCTCCTCTGCTTTTTGTTTTTTCACACCTTTTCAATGTGCTTTTTGAATGTGAGGCTTCTGTCTAGTGGTATGTCCAAGTACTTGGTATATTGGTCATTTTTGACAGATTTACCACAGAATGTCATTTCCAACTGGGCGTTTATGTCATGATCTTTCACCTGGCAGCCGTTTGATCGGTGGAAAACCAACCACCATCGGGTTGGCTGCCCACCACTTGCATTAATATTGGCTGCTGACATTTGCGCTACGCCTATTTCAAACCCTTATAATAAGTTTGCCTTTGGAAGCTAACCCTCCTTTTCCTGAAGACGATCGCTTGTGTTGCGTCGTAGTAGTTTTTGTTGAAACGTCGTAGTTTTTGTTATTTACTTTGAACCTTACTCTTTGGTTTTTTCGGTAAAGTCACGTAGGTAGAAATAAAATAAAACAAATCACGACGTTTCGATCGCAACACAAGCAATCTTCATCAGGTGGAACAACCACAGTAAGAAAATGCTGAAGTAGGTGAGAGAGCTGCCGTGGCAAGAGGTTATATAGGTGTAGAGGAGTAGAGGAGAGTGGTGGCATCGTGTGCGCTGTCCGGTGCAGTGACCTCACGAGACGTGGGGTCGCACGCGCTGGGCAGTGCACGTGACGTCACCCCTCCTAGGGTATTTAAGGGAGACCCCGTAACGTAAGCGGGGTCACTGGAGGAACGGGGATAGTGGAAGGGGTAAAGAGGGAACCAGGGATAGTGATAAGTGTTAATAAACCCTGGCGGAAGCCCCTAACTCAACCTCCGTCTCCGAGTACCTCCGTCTACTACTCAACAACTGGTGTCAGAAGTTTACACTGTCGCCAACATGTATAAAGCGGGCGCACGGCGTAAGAACCCACCGGCACATGACTTGGAGGGTGCCGAAGGCGGAGAGGAGGCTCCAGCAGTGACCCCAGAGCCCGGGACCTCGGTGACGGTCCCCATGGAGACGAGCGGGCCGGAGCGGGAGGAGTCGGCTGCGGGGAGTGCCAGCTCACCGCCACCGCCAGAGACGGAGAGCGTCCCCGCAGCTCTGCTGCAGCAGCTCCTGCAGGCGGTGGGGCAGCTGACCGTCAGGTTGGCCGAGGTGGAGGCGCGGACGCGGCCAACCGCCCCGCACTCGGGACGGGAGCAACCGTCAACTGCCAACGTTGAAACCGCCGCCGTTTTCCCAGCGACCGCTCCACCGGAAATGGCCGCCATGTTGGCTGCGACGCAATCCGCGGCGGCCATGTTGGCTCGGGAGCCGTATGCGGCCGCTGTTATGGCTGCGACGCGGCGGCCGGCGGACATTGTTGCTGCGACGCCGCAAGTCGGCGCCATGGCTGCCATGGTGACCGTGACGCCGCGTCTCTCCACCGACGCGGCCGGGGTTTCTCGGCACGCCGCTCCTGCGGGACCAGCCGCCGGCGACGACGCGGCTCTTCATCAAGCTGCGCCCGCCGGGGGGGCCCCGGGTAAGTACGCGCGTGCCGTCCTCGCCGGGTCGCCGGGGTGGGCAGCGGCAGCTGCCGCTGCCCCGTACATCGCCGTGCCATCGGAATGGGCCGCGGGTGCTGCCGCGGCTCAACCTGTCGCCGCGCTCACGGGGCCGGCCACCGGCGATGCCGCGGCTCTGCACCTCGCCGTGCCTGCGTCCCTTGTCATGGATGACGCCGCGGCTCCGTGTTATACCGCCGCGTCTTCGGCGTGGCCCATGGAGGCTGCAACGCCGTGGTCCCTTGCCGCGTCGCGAGAGGTTGCCGCGGCTGCGGCCGCTGACAGGTGGGTCGCGAAAGCGCAGGCGCCTTCACACCTCGCTGCATCTACGGCGTGGCCCATGGGGGCCGCAACTCAGCCGCACTTTGCTGCGTCTACGGCGTGGCCCATGGGGGCCGCAACTCAGCCACACTTCGCTGCGCCTACGGCGTGGCCCATGGGGGCCGCAACTCAGCCACACTTCGCTGCGCCTACGGCGTGGCCCATGGGGGCCGCAACTCAGCCACACTTCGCTGCGCCTACGGTGTGGCCCATGGGGGCCGCAGCACCACCGCACCTTTCCGCGTCTTCGGCGTGGCCCGCGGGAGCCACAATGCTGTCACCGCCACACCACGTCGCGTCCGCCGGGTGGCCCGCAGGTGCCGCTTGGCTTCCACACCTCGCGGCGCCGCGCGGCCAATGGCAGCACCGGTTACCCAACGTTGCGCCGTTTGTCGCGCAAGGGGGCGTCTGGTCGGCCTTCCAGGACCGGTTCGACGCGGCATACATGTCGGTCGGCTGGTCCATGGAGGAGGCCTTGCCGGCGCTTCCGACCTGCTTGGACGAAAGGGCTCTGCAGGCCTTCAAGTCCATCCATCCGGCCAATCGGGCTACACTCCCGGCGGCCTATATCCAAATGGCCAACGTTTTTGAGCCGCCGTCCACCACGCAGCTAGAGTTTTCATTGCGGCGGCGGGAGGAGGGGGAACTGCCGCTGGCCTTCCGCTGCTCGCTCCTGGCCCTGGCGCAGGCTGCATACCCTGACCTGTACGGCAGGGCACTTGATTCTATGGCCTTGGGGAAGCTGCTTGACCTGGCAAGGGAGCTAGGAATTGCTCTGTCGATCAACAATGATCGGCAGATCACATCCTTGGCGGTCGCCGAAAACATTCAGGCGCACCTCTCCCTCCGCCAACGGCCTCAGATGGCGGCGTGTGCGGGGGTCCCGACGCCGGACGGGGGGGCCACCTCTCAGGGGGTGGACACCCTCGCGGCCCTGGCGATGCCCGATCGTCAAGGAAGGGGGGCGGGTGGTCGCCGTCCGGAGCAGCGGGGGCGGCCGGGACCTTCCCGTCCACAGGAGGCGGACACGGTGGCCTGCTTCCGCTATGGTCAGCGGGGCCACATTGAGCGGGGCTGCCGGAATGCCCCGGGGGCCTTTGGAAAAGGGACTTCCACCTTCTTCCAGACCCTCCTTGGCATCGGGTCCGGGGCCCCAGGCGAGTCGCGACGTATCATCTGCGCGGCCGCTCCCTTCACCTCATGCATCTAGCGGGGCTAGGGCCCATCGTCATGGGGTTGTCCTCGAAGGGTCGGGTGCACCATCGTCATCACCCCCTCAATGGCCCAGACAGACCCGCCACTGGGATGCGCTTGCGCATAGGATGGTGGCGGCAGCTGCCGGCTCC